TGTGGTAGTGTTGCTGTGATGTTGAACATGTGTTTGTTTGTTTGTTTTGTTGAACTGAATCGAGGGATGTTACGAAGACAGGATAGAGTGTTGACCCCTTTGTTTCCGCGTTCCAGGAGAAGGATAAGAATCATCAACAGGCTTTGCAGGATCCACTGTCCTTCCTACAGGCTTGTCGTAGGTGCCCCTTTTGAGTTCAAGATTGGTCAAAGTGTTTTGCGTTCTTCAATTAGGACTGCGGTTACAAGAGGACGAGTTTCGATGGTTTTCAAGACAAGATGGACAGGATCAAGTGGAGAGTTTGGATAGTTCTTTGAAAGGTGATAGGCCAATCAAATGTTCTTTCCTGTACTAGTGCTAAAGCCAATCGGTGGCCTGAAGCGATCAAATGCGGGGAGATACTTTTCGTCAGTAGTCCTTAGTCCTTCACTTGGTTTCTTTTAGGAGCTGAAGCAGCAGCATCATGCTGAGCTGCAGCAAGCCCGGCTGCGCCAAACCCCAAAGGAGGCAGGTTTTGTGGGCGCTACTTGCATGCCATTTGAAGGGATTTACCTTCCGTACGCACAACATCCCATTCACCATCCATTCGCCGCGTCTCACGACTAAACTCAGACGTCATTTGGGGATGTGTTTCTTCCACAAGTTGCTTTCTTTTTTGGTTCAACACCTGCAAGATCTGCTTAGGGCCTAAGGGCCTTGAACGCTTAGCTGGGCTACTGGATTCGCACCACTGGCTACTCCAAGCCACAGGAACCACGGCGTGCGGGGCAAGCAGCGCTGCAGAGCGAAGCGCAGGAGCCGTGGACAGTCACTGGTGACTGGCGCTGATGCCGTTGGTTGATCAGCAACGATGACTGCGGATGATTTGGGCAGAAAATTGAAGACAGGACATCCTTCGAAGGAGATTCCAATTTATATAAGGGAAAAGAAGATGATATAAGTAGGCCGAAACCTGTGAGAGCCCTGGTTCTATTTTCTGACCCACGCTCCTGCGATCTAGGCTGGGAACTTGTTGACCCATCATTGGTGTTCGCGAGGACAGTGACTGGCAGCAAAGGAAGGCTTTAGAGGACATTGTTTCACTTGTTCAACAGCCAGCAAGAATTGTCTTGATGTGTTGATTGTTTTTCTGCATAGAGAAGATTTCTCTCTATGTGTTGCTTGTCTTTCTGGTAGAGCAGCCTGACATGATCTTCAGGATCTTCAGGGCCGACATGATCAGCTGAAGAAGACCCTACAGGTGGGGTGGTTTCCACCAGCTGGCTGTGTGCGCGGTCGGGGAACCCCGACCCGGCGTAGACCCGCATTCCTTCGGTGAGTGAGACAGTATGGATGATAGGGATGGAGTCCAGCAAGGTGTCCCAGACCATCGGACTGGAATAGTTGCATGACAAGTTTCATTTAAATTAGATTCAACATCATATAATTATGATCACTCCATGTAGGTAACGATTTTCAGTCCCATTGACTGTTTGGGGTTTAGCATTGTTTAACTGTCCACTATGCAGGTCGACATGTCGACATGTGTTTTTCGACCTTGCAACGAACGCAACACAACAGGACCTTCACAAGCAACATGCTGCTGAACTGCACCAAGCCCGGCGACAAAAAGTCTGGCCGCAGGCGGACTCCCTGGGCCGTAAAGTTTACGCCGGTGAAACGCCGTGGTAGCCACCATTTCTGGCTATATATATATAACATTATTTAACTTCAAGATACTTCAAGCTATAACCATATTGATTTTTGCAGACGGCAAGCTTATGCACGCTGGCTGGTGGGCCGTTGGTGCATGGCTGTTGACCTTGCTAAGTTTGGATCATAGCACTTCATTCATCATCATTCATCCAACCGCTGTGAACATGCGGTGTTGCAAGGTTGCGGACTCGCAGAGGAAGGCATTACAGGAGAAGCTCAGTGGTTTGGGATGTCAGATGTGTGTTGGTGTTCTCTCTTTTAGTCTTGGTGGTTGAAGGAAATTCGTATGTTCAAGCTTTACTTGGGAGTGAGTTGAAACCCGAATGGTTTTTCGAGTTGAAACCACCGTCGTTCCGTCGTTTAAAGAAGAACGTCCTCAGGACTTGCAGAGCCAACACGCTGAGCTGAAGAAGGCCTATCAGGCACTGGCAACGACGCCCGAAATAGAGAGCGACATATTCCCAAGACAAGACTTTGCAGGTATTCGCAGGGTGTTTTTTTAAATGTAATGTTTTTTTTTTTTTTTTTCGGGGTGATGCTTGGCACAGGTTGCTTCATTTTTAACAAGGGTCAGCTGGAAAGATTGAGCTTGAAGCACATGGGTTTCGTGTGTTTTTCTCCCTGGACCGCTGTTTCCCTGTTCCCCGCTCAGCTTGGGCGTCCCGCCGCTATAGGAGAAAGATGCCAAGCTCCAAGCTCTTGAGGATGGGGATCTATCCCTAGGGCTCCTGTCCCATATCCTCAGGTTCGGTGGTTAGACCCCCCTGGCACCCACCCCTCCCACCGAACCTCAGGAGGTGGGCCAGGAGCCCAAACGGGGTCGCTCGGCCGGATGGGACGAATGCCCCACCGGATGGACTCCCGGAGTGGATTGTCCATGTTTGTACTTGGATTCTGGACCTTCCCTCGATTCAGGGTTTGAGCTACAATCGTACGTCAATTGATGAAAAAAACATAGAACCATTCGAACGACTGGAACTGTTGCCAGCTGAACGTGGAGTCTTATGCAGGCAGTGTCGTGGTTTTGATCTGGTGAACCATCTCTTTGCAGGTGATGCCTTGGGTTCGGGCTTAGGTGCGTTTCAGCATTTTGGCCAGTTTTCACAGGCCTTGAGCCAGGTGGGGTGCATTTTTCGAGCCTGTCCAAGCTTGCGAAATGCGTGCTGTATAAGGTGGTCTTGATTTTCCCAAGGGCCCTAGCAGTTAGACCCTCCAATCCCCCCCCAACCACGGAACCAAAAACGGAGGTAGGCCAAGAGCCCTATAGAGTTTGTGTCAGGGTTGGAGTCGGATGTAAGTCTTGGCGGCGGTCCCCAATTCTCCGCTCACGCCGGGTGCTAGGAGCTTCAAGTGATGCAAGTGATGCCCGACCCGGTGAAGGTCCACCGGACACCGCGACCGGGGAGAGGGTCACTCGATCCCCGGGTCGACCAACAAAAGGGGCTGGTGACCTGGTGACCTGCCGGTTGTGGCGAAAAGGACGAACGTGGTTTGTGTTGTTCTATTCCAGATGAATTCCTTCTCAGGAAGAGGATGTAATTCTTGTGCCAGTTCCGTAGGAAAAGACAGGAGTTGGTTGATACTTTGTTCATGATCTTCATTCAGAGCTTTCCCAAGAGCTTCTCTGCCTGGCCCACGTGTTTCCCTGCCGTTCTCTGCCCCTACTTTCTGGAACGAAACATTGTATGCGTTTCCCTTGAAAGGCAGCAGACTGGCAGCAGAGGAATGCTGTCAGTTGTCAGACAGATGTTGCTTGTCAATGGTTGTGATTTGTCATGTTGTTTTCTGTTGTTTTGGACATGTCACTGTTGAGGATCTCCAGACCCAACGCGAGAGAAAATATAAGCCGTGGAGGTTGGTGTAGCTGAAGGTGTGCTTTGTTTACATCCGTGTTGATAAGAGGAAGGTGCCCAAAGACCCTGGGAAGAGGAAGAATCGACAAATTATACACATCCTAATCCCATCGGCTGGAGGATTATTCCATTCTCATGGTGCTCACACAGGTTGCTGCTGCTTTTGGCAAGATGCATCAAGGGGTTGAAGTTTGTGGATGGACAAACTCTTTCACGAAAGGAACTTTGCCGACAAGTTTTTGGCTGAAAAAACATTTTGGGCGGGGCGCTAACAGCCTTGATCAGTTGGAACCCAAGTGTGGCTGTTTGCAAACTGAGGAGTTTCGGTCCCATATGCATGTCCTCACATGAGACCAAAAGCACCTGCCTCAGCATCTTCCAAACTCTCTGGTGCAGCTCGTGTCATTACAAGTCAACCTGCATGTTGATTTCCTTGGAAGCCCCACCCAACATGTCCCAACTGCCCGGAGTTTGGCAGCTAATTTTCCCTTGGGTGTCAGGTTCTTCTGACCAAAACTGGATCCAGTTTGTCCTGAAGAACACCCACTGGACCAGTCTTTCAACCGTTTGTTTGTTTTGTTTGTCTAAACGAAGGAGTTAGAAGCTGCATACCTTTGGAACGAACCGCTGCGCTTGAATTGTTTCTATCTTTTTCTGGTTCCGCCCGGCAACGCAGGAACTCAAAAGGCAACACTGTGCCGAGCTGCAGCAAGCCCGAGAACAAGTCCTACAGGCCCTGCTGCAGATGCTCTTGGGTACTCGTAGGATGGAAAACAGATAGACACATGCAATGGCAACTCGTTGGTTGATTGTTTGTCTCAGAGCCGATTAAAGCATGCAAATGCGACTCTATCACAAGTA